TGTGTGTGTGTGTGTGTGTGTGTGTGTGTGTGTGTGCGCGCACCTAAAAATTGACAAACCTGACAAAAATCAGGCAAAAAAAAAACCATGCACAAAATCTAGCAAAAAAACAATTGAGCCAATAAAGCAGAGGAATGGGCAATAGGTTTGTGATAGACGATGGCACGTCAAAATCAGATTACAACGCAACTGGAAGAACGGAACTCCTTTCGGGGGGGAAAAAAAGACAATCATGGAAGAGGAAAGATATGAAAATTTGAGAATATGATGAAAACCAGGACAATAACAAACTAGGAAAAAAAAGTCACAAAAATATGAGAAAGATCTGGCAAATTTGGGGAAAAAAATCATACAAATCTGATGAAAACGTAAAAGAAAGGTTGTAAAAATCTCAATAAAGATGGCAAACAGCTGACAAAAAAAGGGAAGCAAAAAAAAAAAACTGTGGCGTAAAGTCTTCCAGTAGTATTAGCAAATAAAATGGATGCTATTTTTGCGCCAGTCTTGAATGACTGATTGTGACGACTGTCGGTAAGCATCATGTGCAGAAAGTAAAACCCATCGATGATTCACGATGAACGATTATAAGAAAGCCACTTTGCACAAAGAAATGAAGCTAACAAGTAATTCTGTCTTTTTTTTTCCAAAGAGCGTGACGTTGCTGGCTTTCGACTTGACGTCCGATGTTTGCAAAAGATGTCATTTTAAAGCATTGCCAAGTGGAAACTCCTCAGATACCCCCTTCTTTTTTTGTTCTTTTTCTTTTTCTTTTTTTTGCGGGCAAATCAAGCCTCTTCTGTGCAAAGCTTTTCCACTGTGGCTCTTCATTTCCTAAAACCACTGTGCCAATCCCAAGTTTTTCATGCCAAAAACGTTTTTGAATGTTTTACACAGTGTGTCTGGAGTATATTACAAGGGCCACCGGGATCAAACACCATCACTTGACTGTTTTTTTAATCAAAGTTGAGGAAGTTCAGGGCCACCCAGGCTTTAATTTCAGACAAAATAAGGAGAAAGAATCTTTTACCTCCATACATCAATCTGACATATTCATAGCAATCGGAGGAAATACCATGCTTTCTCAAGATGAAACCCAAGGGCAGCAAATATAAAGAGAAAAGCAGAGGCCCTAAGATTGAACTCTGTGGAACCCCATAAAACAGGGGAACAAAGCGGGAACTACCAAAGCTTAGGTGTCTGCCAGATGAGATCTCAACCAATTCATACCAGTTCAGTGTGAAAGGGGTATAAAGTCTTCCTGAGCTTTGCCCGAGCAACTGTCATTGAACTGTAGGTGTGTGTTAGTCTTATAGTAATTTTGAAGTAGGGAGCCCCCCCTCTGCAAGTCATCTCTAGAGGGTCTCCCTCTTGCTGATGGGGAAGCGTCTCTGTGTGCATTGTACCAGTAAATGTGAGAGAGTGGGGCAGCAGTAAAACGAAACTGACTTCAGTTTCCACTCAAATCTCTCTTTCACTTGTGGCTTTTTGGTCTTTAATTCAAGACAGTTAAATGTTGCAAAGTTACCTTTGCTGCACACTCACTGGAGAGTCATAGGTCAGAGGGGACTACTCATGACATTTCTTATCAAGGATACCAGCGCTTGCACTGGAAGTCCAATGAGGGGCGTCGCAACAACCACACTTTTCTCAATGGACAGTTTCAAGACAAGAAATTCAAGTTAGCGACGGTTTTTCAGAACTTTTTTGTCAACAAGGGGGGAAAATTAAATAACTTATTTCAGCAATGCTATCTGCCAACACAGCATTGTAATTGAAAATATGACTTGGAAAGTTTTCTTAAAACACGTGAACATCTCGAGCAATGTTACTGACAATGAAACATTGTGGAGCAAAACAGGAGCATCATTTCACATGGGAATATTTGTTCTGAAATAGGAACGTATCAACTGGATTAGGTGTTTGACCAAAATCAAGTCCTCTGGCTCAAACGTGTAAATGTCATCGGCTGTGAGGAAATACTGTAGGTAGTCATGCCACATTGTTGAAGTGAAGTGAATCATATTTTATTCAAATCACTCGCGACTGTGTGACCTATGAATTGGTGCAGTGGAAAAGCGAGCGTTTGTTTCTGCAGACGCCCACGGGACACAGCATGTCTTCCAATGACCACTTTGACCCTCATGCGTTCCTGATGTTTTTGTGTGAACAAAACACAACAACCTTGAGCTTCTTCTAACGATCTGCCCACCTCGCTTTCTTTTGGAAATTTAAGCTGTGCTAATGCAAATGTACTTCACCAGGGTGGGGAGTTTGCTCTGACTTTGTTATTTGCAACTTGATCTCTGTAAATATATCAATATGTTTACAACAAATGCTACCTTTTGGCTTTATAGTGGCCAACTTTTGGACAATCGAAACTTATGGGACCTTTACTGGTCGCAATCTGGATTGGTTTAAATCCTCTTTGGAAAACAAAACTAAGCTTTGGTAGTTCTTATGGTGTTCCACAGGGTTCGATGATAGGGCCTCTGTTTTTCTCATGTATTTGCTGCCCCTGGGTTCCGAGTGGAAAATAACTGTTATTTGGGCTTTACCATACAGGAGTTCTGACACGGAACTAACTGGTTAAGGCAAAGGTAACTTTCATACAAAGAGATCAGCACCAAGATATAGAAATTTTGGAGCCAAATTTTGTGCAATTTTGCAAAATATTTGTTTTACTTCATTCATTTTTGTACATGCAGTTATCACGTTGATCCTCGGTTTCTTAGGGTGCTCCGAAAGGCACTCTGAACGTGTAAGCATGGGTAGTTATTGTTAAAAATATGTGCATTGTCGCATATAAGACAACAAGGTAAAGCACAGTGTGTGCGTGTGTGTGTGTGTGTGTGTGTGTGTGTGTGTGTGTGTGTGTGTGTGTGTATGTGTGTGGTTGTGTTGACATGGGGAAGGAAGAGCCTCCCACGCCAACAGGATGACGCAACCCATGGTGGCCATGCACAGAAAGCACACGCATGCACATGCACTACAGCGATAACTCGAGGACGCTCCGTTTGCTTTAATGTCGCCCATTGTTCCATGCACATTTGTCAGCCTTTAATAAGGTTCATCGCCACGCTTATGTTCGTGGTGTGGACCGTTTTGCTTCAACTTACAGTCATGATGAATCTGTTAATTGCTCATTTTAATGACGTGATATAATCAGATAAGATTGTATCGTTTAAGACTTTGGAAGACAAATTATTGGCACAAATCTGATGCCAAATGGTTCCATTAAGAAAAACAAATCGATATGATGTGAACAGCATATATTGGATCAGCTAATCTCTTCATACGTTTGCTTAACTCACACAAGAGGGCTTCAATAAGGTACAATACTTTCTGTTTTTTTCCTTTTTTTTGAACAATTGTAAACTATTACAATTGTTGGATTGTACTTCAATGAAGTTATCTATTTTAATTTAATTAGACCGTTCAAATTAGGTGTCTATTACATTTACAGTGCCTTGAAAAAAGTATTCATGCTCCTTGAACTGTTTACCGGTTGCTACTTTTCAGCTTGCAATTTTCTACTTTGTGTTGGTCGGTCACATCAAATCTCAATAAACAACGTTGAAGTTTGCGTGGGGAAAATCTGAAAAATGTTCAAGGGGTATGAATATTTTTTTTCAAGGCACTGTAGTCCGGTCGTCGAGTGGTTAGTGCATTGGCTTCACAGTGCAGAGGTGCAGGGTTCAATTCTGGCTCCGGCCTTCCTGTCGTGGAGTAGTTTGCATGTACAGTCCTCCCTGTGCCTGCATGGGCTTTCCCCGGGTATTCTGGTTTCCTCCCACATTCCAAAAACATGCACGGCAGGTTGATGGAACACTCTAAATTGTCCCTTGGTGTGAGCGTGGATGGTTGTTTGTCTAAGCGTGCCCTGTAACCAGTTCAGGGCGTCCCCCGCCTACTGCCCGAAGACAGCTCCAACAGCCCCCCCCCCCCCCCAACGACCCTTGTGAGGATAAGCGAATCAGAAAATGGATGGATGTGTTCCTACAACATATTTCATTTTTTTCTTGTACTGCTCTCTATTTTGACATATAATATACGTACATAATGGTAGAATGATTAAAAAAATTTCGAGTAAGAGTACCATCGATGTACTTAATTCTATCCATGCTTCCTACCCGCCAACCCCCCCCAGGATTGCTCAATGGCTCTAAGAAATGATTTTGCTTTGAATGAGTAGAGGCACGCGCGGTGTTGTTTTGCTGCATTTGTTTAGAACATGACATCAGCGCGAAAGAAGGCCAAAAGAATGTGTGCTTCCCTCACCAGCCGACAGACAGGCCCGAGTCGTCTTCTCGCACCGAACCAGTCCGTCCGGCCTCGACGCCGACGTGTCACCGCACGGGAACGAGTTAAACGCTCGACTTAGACGTGCATGCAAATATGGTATGGGGGATTTGGAGTAACCAATTTCAAGAAACCCTAATTTCAGAAAATGGGCAGGGGAAAAAAAAACCCGACACCACCTGTACTTCAGCAGTTGTCTTTGGAAATTGGCCCCAAGTTCTTCATCGAGTTCACGTTCTCTTTTAGTTTACCCCAGAAAAAGAAGTCAGAAAGTTCTGGTAAACGTAAAATCTCCAAAGTTTGTGGACCCCCTGTCGTGTGGCATTTCCTGGCATGCACCAAGTGTGGTTCTCAATGCTCTTCCCTCTGCTGGTCACGTACCTGTACTGCATGTAATAAGGCACTCAATGCTACTCAAAGGGCAACGTTGCAATTTAAAATAACGCGTTAAAATTGTCAGTATAACAGTAGAACATGGGTAAAATGGTATCGATCTCCACCTTGTGTCTAATTTGATTTGCAATTAACCACCACGCCTGAGGAAAAACAACCGATCAGAGAAGGCGTGACTGACCAGGTGTCAATTTGTCATGCACTCACAACGACCTGTTACCTCGAGATTTATAGTGTACAATGTTGTAATTTGCTATTTTTCTCATTATAAAAACATGTCAGAATTTTTTTTCCTTTCTTTTCCGCAGTGAACGAGATCATCGGCCGAGACATGTCGCAGTCCCCCAGTGGCCGTGGCCCCGCCCGAGCAGCCCACGGCGCACAGTCGTAGCTAAATGGCCAGACGGCAACCAGAACACCAGGGTACTTCAACTCCCACAATGCAACACCTGTCAGGAAAGCTCGATATACTGTATACACACATCAAGAGCATCAATGTGGGTGATTTTTTTTTTTTCACGAAATCACCCTTTTTGAAATGATCAAAGCATTTATGATCCCAGTGAGGAGAAGCTCAACATTCCGCAACTGTCAAGCACCTGTACTTCTCTGATCACTCACGTCCCCTGCTGTCTATACATGTAACTGCCTTACAATTTATTGTTTTATTCTTCTTATTATAGAAATATAGATGCCATAAGATGGCAGCAAATCACATTTTCTGTTAGATAAGCAATGACCCAGCTCAATAAAGCTCCACCCCTCACTTCAACATAGTAGCTTGGCACCAGGATGCCACCAGATGGAGCAAAAGCAACGTCTTTAAGTGAGACGTGGCTCTGGCCTGAGCACAAAAATATCAAATAGTTAAAAAAGAAAAAAAGGCAAACTCCAACCCGTGATTAAGCGGGGTTCACTGTATTATTCGTTGTTATTATTATTACCTGTGTAGCAGAATTGAATGGCAGCAAAGTTCCCTTTCTAACCAAATAAACTGAAATCTACGAAGATACCATTTTATTTACGAAAATATAAGATCATCTACTCTGTGCAATAATTTTTAAAAAATCAATTAAAAGTCTCCCCTGTGTGCCTTGTTTTCAAGAAGACAAATTGAGTCTCAATATTTTCTATAAAAAAAAAAAAAACAAAACAAAACAAAACAATATAGTCCACAAAATGTTGTCCAACATCTGGATGTGGCATATTTACACAAAACGAAAATAACCGCAGCAATAACGCTCGAATTGGACAATTTTTTTCCCCGTCGGCCTTATGATGATAACAATGAGTCTATGCATTCACCTTCAGCCGAATAAGCCTTCTCAAACCCGAAATATGAAGCCGGTAGAGCAGGGGTGGGCTACGCGTGGCACGTCGGACATGTACGACCCACTGCAGCAAACGATTCAACGTCAGTTTTTCTCTTCAGAAATTTACTATGGCCCTTGAAAGACTTCATGACAACTGAGGAAACCCACCCCTGATCTAGACCTGAAGACAGCCATGGCCCCAATTGCGTGTGAGTGTGTGAGAGAGAGCGAGAGAGAAAGAGAGAGAGAGAGAGAGAGAGAGAGAGAGAGAGAGAGTGAGAGTTTATCCCAAATGTAGTCAAGAAAACTCCTATTTTCAAGCACACGTGTGTCTAAGGCTATGCAACGTTAAAATAAATATGACAAAGAAGTTACTTTAACTTCATAGCAGCAGAATGAGAATTTTTTTAGGATGCCTTAACTCATTTATGTCAGTGTGTGTGCTGTTCGATTGTTAGTTTTTTTCCAGGGGGCGGGACAAAGCGTTTTTGTTGGTTGTTTGTAAAGCTTCAAATCAAGAAACGTCGTCCTTGGCCACAACCAAAGAGCGAACAATACAGAGTGTTCCCACTTGACAAAAAAAAAAAAAAAAAAAAACTGTACTCAACTCTATTTTTGATACTTTTTTCAAATGGATGTCATTCCTAAACAAAAAGAAAAAGGTTGGGGACATGTACTGTATGAGTGTTAAACGTGATATATATGACAAATAAAAAGGACGACACATATATGATAACGTTGACAGTCTTTGCAGCTTTTTTTTTCCCTTTTATGTGTTACCCATCTGTATACTATTTTGTACAGAAATTAAAAAAGGGAAATGCAGGTTTAGCTGATGTTTACCAAGCCTTGTATTGTCAACTGTTGTATATTTTGTATGTTAAAGGATTTTTCTTTTTTTTTTTTGTAATTTTAAAGACTGCAGTGCTTTTGGAAATTATTCAAAGGGAATAACTTGCAACATGCTTTAGGTTTTCAAAGTAGTGACTATCAATAAAACGACAAAAAAAAAAGTGAGCCTTGTCTTTTGCTTTCGCTGACTTCCTCTCTACTTATATTTTTCAAAATACCGTGTAACAATTTGAATGGCTGAGTCACGTCACATGGGAGGAGTGACAATGCATGTGAACGTCCCGTGTTGCTTTTATGCATGGGGGGGGGCAAAAATAATTCATTCAAATGCTACCAATAAATGAGCTTGATATAGTTCACATGGGCAATTTCATAAATTCACTTTTAAATTAAATTTTGCCCATTGTGAATTGAAAAAACAATTGTGAAAAAAAACATAAAACGACTATTTATGTATTTAACCCCCCCCCCACACACACACACACACACACGAAAAATGCAATTTAAATTCAGATGATCCATTTTCTGTAGCACCCGCCCTAAGAGAAAAACCGGTTCAATTAAGTCTATCCGGTGTGATTTACACCCTGGACTGGTTGCAAGCCAAATGCTGAAAGAAAATTACCACAAAGAAGAACGTTTCAGATTATCTCAGCCTGCCACAAAACGGCCTACACACAAAAAAAAGCACACACCCACTCAATCATCAATAACAGGTTTTATCGTTTACATTCTTATTCACAATTCTAATATATATGACATCAAAGTTGACAAACAAAAAAATGAAACAAAAAATATATGTGTGTGTGTGTGTGTGTGTATATTTATACATATTCTTGACTATTGGAGGTTTAACAATAGGAGCGCCAGTGTTACTCTCTGGGTAATCGAGGCACATTTTGGGGAGGAAGGGGGATTTAAAAAAAAATAGATATACCCGTCAGTAGTTTGGTCACAAGAAGTCAAAAAGTTGCCTTGCTGTCCTTAACGTTTTCATTTGAGTCGTAGAGTCCAAAGGAAAAGCAAAAGTTGGTTCATCGCATGTTTGTTGACCAACAAACCAACATCTGGAGGTGAGGTCAAATGTATCCAATCACAGAGAAGCATGCGTTCAAAATTCCTTTCTCCTTCCACTTGAGTAAATTTATGGCTTTTGCTAATATATGTCCTCAAGTTGGTACAAAACAATGATTGATTTGGACAAAAAAAAAACAAAAAAAAAAACAAAAAAAAAAAAACCAAAATAAAGGTTCAAGTGCGGACAAATGATTTGGTAGGAAGGAAGCAGCCATGTACACGCGCTGGCCAGAAAGCATTTGGAGTCAGCCAGTCAGTTGCAGAAGGCCAAATGGATCTGCTGGCCGTAGAAGACGTGACTGGAGCGCTCGGCCACGGCCCGGCACGCCGCCTCCTCGCTGGGGAAGGTGACTAAGGCCTCGCCGCTGCACTGGCCGCTGAAGTTGTACAGGATGAGGACGGCGTCCGGCTGGAGCTGCGCGGCGACATAAATAAATAAAAAAATAAAAATAAAATAAAAAAGAAATGGAAAAAAAAAAAAAGCCTGCTTGTGCCTTGCCGGTGGGCTTTAACGTGCCAAACACCAGGGGGCGTCGGCGAGTGAAGGGAGAACGAGATCACACTGCTGTCAGCGGGAGGGAGGTGATGGCAAGGTTAAAAGGAGGTCATTTTGATCCCAGAAGACCACAGCTCACATCTGATTAGTTTGGTTAGCCAGCAAAAGGAGAAAAGAAGAAGCTGGAGACGTGACAGGACACAAACTGCTGCAACTGCAAACTGCATTTCGAGCAGTTACAAGGTGCATTCTTTCAACAGGCCAGCATGGGGCGCTTTCGGCATGCAGCGCATTGAATGGAAGTTTTCTTCATCTTATTCGCCCGTTCAGCAATTAACACTCAGAACTCCTCTCAAAAAGAGGGAAGCGGGGATTCATTTTGGGGAACATGCAGGCCGACAAGCCAACTCAGACAGCAGGAAGAACGAAGCAACGTGGCGTCTGCATCCCGGTCAGTGGGGGGTTGGCGGCGGGGCCCTGAGCCGCTTACCTTGGGGTCAGCCCCTACAGGCAGAGCCATTCTTTGGGCTGAATCAGACTCCTGGCCTGTTCGCTCATCTGAACCATGCTGCCGTACTCCTCGGGGGCATACTACACATAGCATAATAACCAACACGGTTATATCCAATGTTACACACACACACCAAGAAACACAATAAGAAGGACGATGTTCTTGGAGACCCTCACACTGCAGGACAACACCCAAATGAAGCATACAATGTAAATGCGATCGTACCTTGACTTACAAGTGACCCAACTTAAGAGTTGGAGTGATAGTGAGCAGTTCTTCAAAAACCAGGTGTTTGCGTCCAAGTGTTTATTGCCATTCACCATTGAAGTAAAAAATAAATAAATAACGAAAGTCTGCTAGCTTAAGGTCAACAGAAAATGTCACAGATGGACAAATCCAAGTCGCATTGACGTTAAAAAGCCAGCGGTTCTCCGTGAAGGCACATTAGGAGGTATATGAAATTTATCATATTCAAAAAGTGATGGCAGTAGTTACCAACTTGCCCGCAAGAACTACAACCCCAAGTATCTCACTTAATGCAAATAGACTCGGTTCAGTGCAACAACACAATATTCGGTGTTGACAGCTGGTGATGCTGTCAGTTTTTTTTTTTTTAAGCAGTTACGACTAGTTATATTACTGAGTCACTTTTTATGAACGGCAGTATCGTACTGCCCCCTGGTGGTCAAGGCACGCACACCAAAAGGACTACGACGTAAACCATGACAGTTTAATTCTTTACAATCAATGTGATTACAGTCTTGTTATGACTGTATTTTTATGGTAAAACAAACATGAATTTTTGAGGGTGTTTCTGTGGGGTTGGCATTTCCTTTCATTTCATTGGAGAGAGAGGATTTGAATGTGATCATGGAACAGATTACATTTGTAAGTCAAGACACCGCTGTAATGGATGCAGGATGCAGCAGTGATGAGCATGTGAAAAACAAAACAAAAATGAACTTTCCACTTCTGCGTCTTTAAGCGAGAGAGAGAGAGAGGAAAAAGAAGCAAGTGGGTTTTGAGACATTTTGAGCTAAAACTAGTTTTGTATGATGTGTGAAAAGGGGGTTTGCAACCATTCGCACACGGTTGTTCAAAATTCAGTATACCAGTCAACTGTCACAACCAATGGCATCACACTGATGTTTGCCAGATCAAAAATTGTCAATTTGGTTCAAGGTGACATGCACCTGTGTGACACACTGTCAAGCTGCTGTTTTTTTTTCTTCTTTTTAGGAGCAGATTTAGATGTTCAGGCTGCAAAATTTGGTGCTGGAGGGTTACATTTTTTGAAATGGCCAGATCGGTCAGTTCATTTGCAGATAAAGTTTAAAATGCATAAAATATGTAAATGTGAAAATTACTTTGTTCATAGTTTAATTTTAACATTTACCATGAATTTAATTCTCGTAATTTTTCTACCTTACTTATATTTTTTGTATTACAGTGGGCCCCACCCATGCCTGTGGTTCAACACATGTAAATTTGCATATTATGGGATTTTTTTTTTTCAATAATCTTAATTTCTTAATTTTTTGTTTGGGGGGATTTTTATCCCCATTGCCCGCCATGGAAAATGTTTCCCCTCATAGTGAATGTTTCTCCGTGTTTTTTTTTTTTTTTTAAACTCTTTTGGGAACCCCCAGTGCATTTCTACGGCCATCAATTATCCGCAAATGTTGGCTATATTTGGGCTAGCCCTGTCTCAATCCAGGTGTCAACTGTATTTACAAATGGAAAAATAATTCAGTCAATTAACCATTTAAATCCATAAATCAATTCATGATGCACATTCCTAGTCGCTGACAGTCAGAAGCAAAGAGACCAAAGGAAATAAGCTGGAACAACAAACAAACAAACCCTCCACCTAAACTCCAGCCACGCTCTCTAGCTGCTCGCGTCAAGTCAAACCTCAGAGTTCCAACCTCATTTGGCCTGGCAGCAAAGGATTAGGGGAGGAAAAGAGGGACTTGAAATGAAGAGTGCAGTGACACAGCA